GATTTCACCATCCAGCTAGGTTCATCAACAATTACCCCATCAATTCAAAAGTGTAGGATGAAGAGCATGATTATGCTTGTCATCATTATGTTTATTTTACACTTGCATTTGTGTTATTTCATAGTTTTGCTTCACTTCACTATAACTCTGAATTGTGAAAGAATGATTATGTGTGTGTGATACTGTTCGTCTCACTCACATCTCTGGAGGTGCAAAGTCAGGCCTGGACATCTGATAGCCACATTTGATCATTTTATAAAACTTGGAGTCCACCAGTATGTTGGGATACGGGCTCTTACCTGCAGAAACACACACATTTACTCCAATAAGAGAAAATCATGCATTTGTTACAGAGACTTCAAACCAGAACCCAGCATTCAATGAGACTGGAAATTATTTAATATATTTTAATTAAAATAAAGGTTTTGGGCTCAGCAGAGAAACCGCATTTCAAACCATACAAACTTCTTGTTGTCAGAAGTTTTGATTGTAAAGTGTGTTTGTGCATCTTACAATAAATCTCACTTGCTCATTTGCTATATATATGTTTTATGTAAAAAATATGGGTACGGTTGTGATGTTGTGAGTCAAATTGACTCCAGTTGGATTCAGTGTAATTCAGCATAAAAATAAATAAAAAATACAATAAAATAAAAATAATTATAAATAATAAAATAATTGTAATATGAAATGGGGAGGCACTGCAGGCAAAAGCACTTTTTTCATGCACCTGTCAATTTCATTTTATCTATTTGTGTCAATAGATTTCAATTACAATACATATCTTTAAAGGCCATTTTCTCAAAATGAGTTTTTTCTCCTACACTGAGCCATAAATCTCCACTTCAGTAGCATTTACACACACAAAACTTTACATTTTTATTCCTGTCTATATTCTGAAGGTTTTTACGGAGGGATTTGTTCATATATAATTTGCTTGATTATATACAACATTTTATTTCCCCAAAAATTGTGAAAATATATTGTTTTCTGGCTGTTCAAAGTATTTTCGGAATTATGACAAAAAGAGATACCCAAAATTCTCTCTGTAAAAACATTTGCCTCTAATATGCCAAAAAAATAAATAAACAAGAATTTTGAAACTGACTTCATCCAGTGTTCAGATTTTTGTACTGGAAATGTATGCAAATTAGCGCATACTTCATTAAATAATGCCTCATTTGCATATTTAAACATAACATTTAACAAAACTTGTAATACAAAATTTTTTTGCAATTATCAATGTAATCAATCAACTGGGTAAGTAAGGTGATAATTAGTAGTTCATTTTTTTACTCTATTCACCTGCAGTGCCTCACCTTAACATTAATACTTCTCACACTTTACAAAAAAATAAACATGACACCGTTTTATTTCTAAAATGGTATTTAACAACTATTTTCACACCCCTCCCCCCTTTTTACATTTTATAAACGGTATTATAAGTATTTATACAAAAATAACATTTTAAACAGGAGTGTGTGGATTATCACTTTTTCTGTGTGCTTTTCCGAAGCTTAAACAGTATAAGTGCATGACGCTTGCAACACTAAGATCATGGGTTCGATTCCCAGCAAAATGAACATGCATGAACTGATAAAAATGTACACCATCAATATAGTGTAAATGTCTTTGAATAAAAGCAAATGCATAAATATGAATGGGTTTTTTTTTCTGTGCAGCTGCCTTTAGCGATGAAATTAAAGGGGTCATGAACTGAGAAATCAAAATTCCCTTGATCTTTTGACAAATAAAAAGTCATTGTACAATATAATGAGAAAAAGTCCCCAAAAATCAAGAAAAACAAATCATAGGTTAACCAGTATTTCCAACAACTTAAAAATGCAGGTCAATGCAATACAAGGGTTTCAGTCTCACCCAGTGAGAAAATCTCCCACAGCAGGATCCCGTAAGACCAGACGTCACTCTGAACCGTATAAACGCAGTCGAAAATACTCTCTGGAGCCATCCACTTCACTGGAAGACGCGCCTATACACACACACACAAATATACTGTATATATCTCTCAAAGTTAAACAAATGCTCTTCCAGTAACGTTATTAGAACGTTCATTGAGTTATCTGCTATTTTATAATGTTCCGAAAACATTAGCACAAAAACATTTTTACATCATTTTTGGGAAATTTTTTCTGAAATGTTTTTTGAATCTGCTTGTCAGAGAACATTCAAAACTAATATTCCCATAATGTTTTCCAAGAAAAAAAAAAAGTGCATGTTTTGAACATTCAGAGAACATTCAGTTATAATAACGTTTTCATAATGTAATGAGAACGTAAGCCAAACGGTTTTGTCAGCTGGGAGCGTTTGTGATGTTTGTTCGCTCACGTTTCCTTTGACTACATAGTTGGCGTCGTTCATGATGTCTCGCGCCAGACCGAAATCACAGATCTTGGCCACTCGGCTGTTGGTGAGGAGGACGTTTCTGGCCGCCACGTCTCTGTGGATGCACTGCCGAGAAATATGACACCAATTCACAATGATCAGTTTTGGATTTACTGAAGATGAGGTTTAAATTGAGTTATTGTTTGTGAATGTAACTTCCTCCAGATCTCACACAGATCTCATTGTTTTTGGTGAAGGCTGCTTATTTTAGGGACTCACATTTTTAGCAGAGAGGAAGTCGAGTCCCTGCGCCACCTGATATGAGAATCTGAGTAAGTCGTCTATGTCCAGCGGCCACGAACCTTCAGCCTCACAATCCAAAGAAGAAGCTGCAGCACAAGAGGAAGCAGCTGAATGCTAACAGCTTTTTTTGTGGTCTCTTAAAGCTAAGATCTTCTTAGTACTGTTATTTTAGCACTTACATACTATTATAGTTTTTATTCATATTTTTAATTAGGCTAGTTGAATTATTTATTTTTGTATTTTCGGTTTTCATTTTAATTGTATTTTTTTTCTTGTAATTTTGTTGTGTCATTTATATTAGGTTTTTTTTTTTTTAAGTATGTCTAAATAGTTTTTTATTAATTTTATTTCAGTTTTAGCTTTAGTTATTTCATATGACAGAGTAGTGGCTCGTAACATTTTTTTTTTTAAAGATTACAAGAACAATGTCACAATATTTGGGAAATAACTTCAAAATTAAGAGAATAAGAATAGCATTGTGAGATTAAAGTCACAATATTTTGATAGTAAAGTCAAAATGATGAGAATAAAGTCTAAGTAATACGAGAAATAGTCTTATATGTGATTAAACTTTATATATTTTGGGAATAAAGTCAAAATTAAGAGAATAAAGTGAGCATTTTTTGAATTACAGTTTTAACATTTTGATAATAAAAGTCAAAATCATGCAAATAAAGTTGAGCAATAAGAGAATAAACTTATCTGAGATTAAATTAAAAAATATTTGGAGACTTTTGACTTTATTCACAAAATATTACAATTGAAATCTCACAATGCTATGACATTATTCTCGTAATCTTAATTTATTTTCTTTTATTACTAAAATGATGTCATCATTTTAGTACATCAAGTTGGCCTTGGCAACTAGCTGAAATAAAATAAGTTTAATTTTTTATTTTATTTTATCATTTAAAAATATATATATATATATTTCTAGTAAAAAATTTTTAATTGTTTTTAGTTTTAGTTAACTGTAATAACCCCGGTTCTCAACTCATTTCACTTCCGCAATGTAACATGTTACTGAGCAAAATATGGTATTCATATTTTGCAGATTTGTAGCATTTTGTGGCGTCTGGTTTTATGATGACGTGTGTCTGAGGAAAGCGGTCTGTGACTCACTCTGAGCTGAGTTAGTGGGTCTGGATGAGACCGGTCTCATGTCCAGATATTGATCAGAGCAGGTGCTGGAAATCCCACTGTCACTGTAAAACAATCACAACAAACAAATAATGAAGAAAAAAAAGGTATTAGAACATGCACTTTCAATTAAACACAATCAAACACTTTTCTTTTTTTTGTCAATTTTCAATTATTAAGTATAAACTCAAAAGGTATGGTCACATTTACTGCTGTTCTGCGAATTTTCGCTGCTAAAATCCAGTCATTTTAATATGAATCCACATGGTAAGGAATTTCACTTGAGGGCGAATGGTTTCCCCACGCAGATTTTGGTTTAAGTTTGTCACATGGAATCTGCAGATTCGTCGCATTGATAAAGTGACTTCTTTGTAAAAGCAGTGCTTTTTACATTGTTACACTATTGACAATGGAAAATGGACATTTTGGACATTCAGTGGACATTTTTTGTCCACAAAGGTTCACCAAATTTCCGTGAATGTGACCCGACCTTAACTGGCAAAGACTAGTCTAAAGAAATCATTTTATGGGATGTAAAAATTAAGTTTTTCTTTTAATCTGCTGAAATGTTTTGAGATACTGTATAATGTTTATATATGTGACCCTGGAGTACAAAAGCAGTCTTAAGTCGCTGGGGTATATTTGTAGCAATAGCCAAAAAACATTGTATGGGTCAAAATTATTGATTTCTCTTTTATGACCAAAATCATTAGGATATTAAGTAAAGATCATGTTCCATGAAGATATTTTGTAAATCTCCTACTGTAAATATATTAAAACTTAATTTTTGATTAGTAATATGCATTGCTAAGTAGATTTGGATAACTTTAAAGGCGATTTTCTCAATATTTCGATTTTTTTTGCACCCTCAGGTCTCAGATTCCAGATTTTCAAATAGTTGTATCTCGGCCAAATATTGTCCTAACAAACCATACATCAATGAAAAGCTTATTTATTCAGCTTTCAGATGATGTATAAATCTCAATTTCGAAAAAATTTTGTGGTCCAGGGTCACATATGTTTGTTGAACGGACCTTCTGAAAAACATTCGTTCAGTGTCGACGTTCTTATAATCCATCACCGGAGTCTGAATCATCATGACGAAGTTCAGGAAGTTCTCAGCTTTGTTACGCAGGAAATTCAGAAGATCACCATGACAACAGTATTCTGTGATCACCAGCACAGGACCTGGAAACAAGCCGGAAAAATGTCCAAAAGTGAGCAAATCCTGCAGGAGAATCCAGCCATGGCCAGTTTCTGATGCTTTTACATGGTACAAACTGGCTAACTGATTAGCTTGTTGGTAGGCCTGGTTTTGATGTGGTCAAGTTGAGTGGTGCTCTAAAAACCAACTATTAAAACCAGTCTGAGCTGGTTTTTCCAGCTGGGATGGAAAAAACAACTGGAAGGTCTTACCGCTGTGTGTGCAGGCGCCCAGCAGGTTCACGATGTTCTTGTGCTGCCCAAGATGACTGAGGATCTTCAGCTCGGACATCAGAGCCTCTCGCTCGTCTGGATGAGCACTGGCTGCTCCCAGCATGCAACACAACACAATACACTCACTTATTGGCTTTGAAAAGTAGTTTTGTCAGAGAAACATGAAAAGACCAAAGTGACATTTTCAGTGTCTGATACCGATTATATGAAGATGTTAACTGTATTTACTGGACTGATCTGAATAATGACACTGTTGTCTTCTGTAGTGCTGCTCTACAGCTGAAATTACATTTGTCTCATAACTGATGAATTTTGCAAGCTGTTATTTTCCTGTTTAAGCTGATTTGACAATCTGTATTTGTGCCAGCTAACACAGAACGTTTTTAAAGGTTGTGTAAATGTCAGGACAAAACATTCTTGAAATAATGTTTATGGAGCATTCTTATAACATGATTAATATTTGCTATATGCTCTTGTAATGTTGGGAGGAAATGTTCTTTAAAAAAATAAAATAAAAAATAAAATATTTAAGTGTTTTAAATGTTGGGAGAACATTCAAATGTAACAAAATGTTTTCATTCATTCAAATGTTCTCAGAATGTTTTCAAAAAGATAGAATAGAATGTTCCGCTAACATTCACGTAACCTAGAAGAAACATTAAGTAAAAAAGTGGACATTTTGAATGTTTAAAAAATATTAAGGACTAACGTTTTTACAGTGCCGATCCTAGACTTCTGAGGGCCCTATGCAAAACTGTGTAGGCGGATTTGTGCTTGTTTCACTCCGTCTCGAATCGCGCTCACGGAAAGCGTTTGAGAAACAGTGTCTCTTCCGCGGCTCGCTACGCTTTCAACTCGTTTTTTTAGTCTCAAATAAGACTGTACGACATTCACCAAACTCTTCATATTTTGTTGGAATGTACATACATAAAATACTTGTGAAAAATTGGAAATTTACATGGTGTTAATATATAACCATAATATTACCATATTACATATCTTAAAAAAGGTAATGGTAATACTATAGTACTCTTTGTAATTGTCACGTTTTCTGACCTTTCAGCATTTTGACAGCTACACGTGTGACATTGTCCTCTTCGCCCAGGCCGTACGCCGTGGCCTCCACCACCTTCCCAAAAGCTCCTGCTCCCAGAGTCTTTCCTACACACCAGAATCACTCCATCAGTGACTGTGTTCCAAATGCACAGACTGCTTCTAAGATGAACTCGCTTTGTATTTTAGAATTAAAATTCATAGTGATGTTTTTGTGGGGCTTAAAGTCAAAAATGCCCAAATGGAGTTCTGTTCTGAGATCATAAAGAAGTAAAACAAATCAGAAATTTGTTTAGAAGTGCATAATCTTGTATTATTATTGTTTTTTAAAAGGTAAAATGCAGTTTCTTTATTATATAAAATCATTCAATCAATCTCAAAACAAAGTCATTAAAGTGCAACTGACAGGATTAAATCATAATAAATCGTAAATAGTAATATAATAATAATAAAATATCAAAATAAAGTCAAACAACAGGAAATTACTTTAAAAAAATAAATTAATTAATTTAAAAAAAAAGAGGGGGCCCTCTGGAGTAGGGATGGGCGATTCAATACAATAATACTTTTTAAAAAGGGCCAGTATCATCAATATTGATACCAATACCTCTAAACCGAACTTTTAAATCATTTCTAAGTGCAAAATACCCACTTGACATTATATTTGAAAGGCATTTTATCGTTCAATAGGCCTTCAATAGGCCTTAATTGCAAAAAATTAGAATTTAGAGTTTTTTTTGTTTACACATGGTTAGAATATGGTTACTGTACTGCGGTTTTACTGCTAATCCTATAGTTGAATTACTGTCACTGTAGTAAAGCCATGGGTCATTCTCATACGGGACTGCAGTGACAGGCTGCTGCACCATAAAGTACAACCTTTGCACATTTTTCTGACAGTGTATGATTTATATTAACAACAATTACAGACATGATCAATTTGGAATTTTAGCATGCAATTTAAATAAAATTTAATAGCACACACTATGTACATTTTCAATATGTTCATTGTGAAATAACTATCTAATGGATCCATATTATGTTCTTCTGTCCCCTGATAAGCATTGTTCTGAGCTGTGTTTCCCAAAAGCATTAGGAGCCTAAGATGATCGCAAAGATGGCAACGGGTTTTTATGATGCTTTTGGGAAATGCAGCGCTGTTTGAATTAAGTGTCATTAGCCAGCGCTCTCTGATTGATTGGTTCTGTCTTGCAGCATTTTCTTGCTAAATTAAACAATCACTTGTAAAATCACCTTATGAATGTTGTTTTTTATTTGAGTATCAATACTTGGATACAAAATCAGCATTGATGTATCAATACTTCAGTATTGATCTGCCCATCCCTGCCCTGCAGATCCTCATGACTGTCTGAAAAATACCAGATTATTGAATTTTTATGACCTAGCAAAGTTAGTTCAGGTTAATGGTGTCAAACGAAACCTCATGATGTTCATTATTCAGAAATCTGTCATATGTGAGCGTGTGAAGCATCAGTGACGCAGTACAAACCGAGCTTTAGTTTGTCTCGAGGAAACTCCCATTTCTCGTTTTTGGAGAACACCTGATAAGAGATCAGAGACCATTTTCTTCATACGGAATCTCTCCAGATCCTTCAGATTCACAGCTCCATGTTGGTGCTTCTTCTCTTCAGTTCACCCCACTCATTTTCTACAGAGTTCAGGTCAGGGAACTGGGACGACCATGGCAGAAGTTTCATTTTGTGCTCAGTGACACATTTTTGCGTTGATTTTGATGTTTGTTTTGGATCATTGTCCTGATGGAAGATCCAACCACGGCCTATTATAAGATTTCTAAAAGAGGCAGTCAGGTTTAGATTTTTTTATCTGTTGGTATTTGATAGGATCCATGATGCCAATATCTGAACAAGATGTCCAGGACCTCCGACAGAAAAACAGCCCACAACATTAAAGATCCAGCAGTATATTTAATTGTGGGCATGGGGTACTTTTTATTCCTGTTTGCACCAAACCCATCTGGTGGGTTTGCTGCCAAAAAGCTCTTTTTTTTGTTTCATCTAACCATAGAAGCCAGTCCAGTTCCAGTTGTGTCTGACAACTGAATATGCTGAAGTTTGTTTTTGGATGAGTGAAGAGGATTTTTCTTGAAACCTTTCCGAACAACATGTGGTGATGTAGGGGCTGTTTGATTTTTTTTGATTTTTTTTATAAGTGTGAAATCAACAGGTTTGAAATATTCAAAATTTCACGTGATTAATCATTCATGAGTTTAGGGACATGTTTGTCGATAGAGAGTCAAATAATAAATCTGCATCGTTTATCTTTTTGATCTTTCATTCAAAAAATTCACAAAATTCTAATCTATCATTGAAGTAAAACAATGGGAAATGGGGGGAAAATCTCATTATGAAATAACTGTTTTTCTCTAGTTCACATTAGCCACAATTATTGGCAGTATCACACAAAAGCTTCATTTTGTGCTCAGTGACACATTTTTGCGTTGATTTTGATGTTTGTTTTGGATCATTGTCCTGATGGAAGATCCAACCACGGCCTATTATAAGATTTCTAAAAGAGGCAGTCAGGTTTAGATTTTTTTATCTGTTGGTATTTGATAGGATCCATGATGCCAATATCTGAACAAGATGTCCAGGACCTCCGACAGAAAAACAGCCCACAACATTAAAGATCCAGCAGTATATT